AGGGCATGTTTGGGTCAGTTTATAAGTGCAGACAGTGTTTTGAAAACACTGTCGTCCTGTTTGGTTCACACTTATTCCCAGATTATGAAAAACAACGTTTAGAAATTTTTAAAAGACGCGGACCGCCCCATTTCATCTTCCTTCTTCGTCCTTTGCAGTCGTTCGGGGAATGCAGTTTTCCAAATCATTTATCCATAATCATTTGTTTTGCAAACGCACGAACTAAACAGCCAGCAGCTTATCCGGATCAGCTGCTCATCAGTAGATTATCAGGATAAGCTGCTTATCAGCATAAACTGAATAAGCTGCAACTGCCTCCAAACATACTCTTAGTTTAGTTAATTTTGATTTTGCTCATTAATTCTAAAGCTAGCTAGCAAAAATTAAGATAATTTTTTATTGTATAATTCTGATGTATTTATACATCTAGCATTTAAATTATTAAATCACATAAAAATATCACTGACATAATTTTTTACAAAATAAATTAATTTTATTATTATATAAATAAAAAATATTAAAATAAATGTATATATATTATTTAATTAATATTAAGATCAAATCGGAGATGGATTGAAGTGATTGCAACCTTTACAACACTAAGGTGGAATGCAAATAATAAGGGCCATTTAATGCATACCACTCTATTAATTTTTATTTATTTGTTAATTTAAAACATAAAATTTATTTCTTACATTTATACCACCCAAATCATTTTTGGCTTTAGAAACATAAATACATATGATATGACTGCTCCTCTAAATATCAAGATCTAAAAGATAAAGATGATAATAAATTCAGAGAAAGTAAGTACAGTTAAATCATTTATTGGTGCCATATAAATTCATTAATTGCAACTTCAAACATTACCTTATTTACCAATATATCTAACCTCTAAACTTTAATTTTTTACATTTATACCACGAAAATCTTTAACCATGTAATTGAAGTTTGGATGTTGGATATGTAAATAGATAGGAATAACGTGGCATGTATGCAAATAACCCAAACAGAGAAATAATAATTTGGCGGAAGAGCATGACGAAGACATGACGATAAAGTAAACCATGCGCGTGAGCAAAGGAAGATAGGGTTGTCCTCGTAGTTTATCATGCCTTGGAAAATAGACCCACCAACCTATCTATGTAAGAACTCAATCAATATGGGACCTACCAAAATATTTTATATATATATATATATATATATAATATTTTTTTTCTCTTAACAATATATTTTTTTACCACTGTTTTATGTGTGACATAATTATATTTTTACTATTTCAAAATGTTGCAATGAAAAACTAAGTTTTGGAATCTGACCAGGTTAGGTACGGTTTGCAACTTGGATCGATCAAGTAGGGTGGCTGCTAGAGAGAGCTACGGTCTAACTTTTGATGAATAAATTTTAAGAGCGACTAAAGCTTTTTGAAAAGTTGTTTCACACTTGATTCTTAAGAAAACTAAAGCAACCTCAAACAAACCCCTAATCAAAACTTTTTGTCTATGGGAATAGTTGTTCGCTCTTTAGAAATGGGTGCCCTCCCATTGGGGCATTTAGATACATGCCACACAATTGTTATGTAGTTATATTGTTATATATTTAAGACCTACATTTTAATATTTATATATAGCAATCAAATTTTTAATATCACATGAGGAATATCACTATTAACTATTTTTAAAAATGAAATATAGTTTTTCATCCATGGGTTTGTCACAACAAAAGCATTAAGAATATAAATATAAGTACGCGTGCGATTAATAGGTAAATACGTAAGAATTATGAGCTATGTATGTGAATTTACCTTTCATATGTCCATTGATTCTTCATTAAATCTTCTAAAAGCTAAATTACTTTGAATGATAGGAATAAAATCAGTGAGGGATTACGTATGTATATCATGAATGTGTCAGTACCAATCTCGAGGAGATCCATTTATCCAGAAGAAAGAAAAGTATAGTTAGTGAGGGCACACGAGCATAAGAGACAAAGAGGCTCATTTACATAACCAAACATAATAGCTTGAACCATAGTCAAAACTAATACGGACTAGATGCAACCATCCGAGCTAGAGTCCGTGAGACGAAATATATCCAGATGGTCAGAATCCGAACCCGATTAAACTGGGCTCTTCAACATTAGCAGTCATCCCACAGACGCCTATGTGACTTTTTATCAGGGATCAAGATGTAGCAATGTCACGAAATATCTAAACCATCCATTCAACTCTCCTTTTTGGGAAGTGAACTATCATCGGGTAATGGTAATTCATCATCTGTCGAATAGCATAGCATCAATCAGCCAATAGAAGCTCCTCACTAAAAATTTATGATCGACAAATCCAAAGACCAGAATTTAATCAAAAACTGATCGATAACCTCATCATAATTGAACAGACCAACCTTACAGAACGAAAGACCATCAAACTTAGCCGACCGAGCCAGAGGCTAGATGAGTCATAGATGATGTAAAATACATAAAATATTTTATAATATCCCATTAAAGTAGGTAAATATATGAAACTTCACATATTATAATCTCTCTCTCTATAATTTATATCAAAAGAGTGTAACGAGGTCTTACTTAGTTGGGCTCAACCATCTGAATGTTTGTTGTGCGAAAGGCCCAATATCAGCATGCACGCGGAGAACATGGTCCATTTATCATAACCCAATTTCGTTTTCTATTATTTATTTTATTTTATTTTATTTATATTTATGTCTAGATTTAAATTAAAAGGAAGCATTTGGTTGGAATATATCGCTAATTTAAGAACTGCTTTCGTTATTTTAAAAAATAATTTGATTTATATTTTAAAAATAAAAAACAAAAAATATATAAAAAGTATACCAATCAATTATATTTTTAAAAGTTTAAAAATACAAAAAACAAAAATATCTGCTCTCCTGACTCGATCATCGGATGCTCGACTTCAAGAAAGGCGGATGCAGACCTAAAAAATTTGGGCATATTGTATAATAAATAATATTAATTTATTTGAATTAAATGAAAGTATGACACTCGATAAGACACAATGGAGAAATTTGATTCATATAGCCGATCCCATTTTATGTTGAATCAGCATTCGTCATTGAATCACTCCAAATGAATCATGTGTAAATAAGAAGAGATAGAGAGAGAATAAAATTTAATGAATAGTGATACGTCATGCCTTATTAATAAAATGATTTACTATTCGTAGTAAAAGATGTTATAATTATGATATTTATTTTTTTTAAATATAACTAGAAATTATTTATATTTATTATATTACTTGTATTTAAGTCATCACTCATTGCACAAAACGAGTGATTTCTTTTTTGAGGGTCGCTAACTTATAGAGTAGTTGTATCTGTGCATGTCGATTAACACATTACCCAAAATGATGGTGGGCAATATTGCAATTTCTTAAGACACATTGCATTAAAGTTTATCAAAATATATCAACCTTTGATTTAAGAGAGAATTTATCTATAATTAACTAAATCAAAGCGGTATATATGTAAAAATTAAAGTTTAGGAGTTAGATATGTAAATAAAAAGAAAAAATTAGTGGCATGGATTTAAATCTTCATTATTCTTAATATATTATCTCACTCTTTTGTTCTACTCACATATATATATATATATATATATATATATATATATATATATGTGGAATTAAATAAAGATGCCAATGAATGAACCTGAGGTTTTAATGACTTCGCATAAGCTAAATAGCGTCTCAATTCCGCGTTGGTGAAAGAAGGGGATAATGCTTCTTCGTGTTTCTGATGCACTCTCACAATATGATGGGCGATACGGTAGTCGGTGTTCTCGTCCGGTTCATCGATCATAACATATACTAAATCAAATCTCGAAAGAATAGCTGGAGGTAAAGCCACGTTATACTGTTCAAAAGAACAAGACATAAAAATAAGCGTTATTTTCTTTCTTTTAACAGTATCACATTCCATATAAAAGATTTACATACATACCACTCATGTATTTAATGTCCAACAACTAAAATTTGAGAGAGAGAGAGAGAGAGAGAATAATTCGCCCTAACTTTATCTTTTAGGTCTCCCCTTCTCTCATTTAGCGAAAAGCGCAGCCCCCCACCCCTTTCCTCAAGCAATTCTTCACCCACGCAGCCCACCGAAGCACTCTCTCGCTCCTTAGGTTCACTCGAGCAACAAGAGCAGCCCAAGCTCCTATTTTAGTTGCGAATAGGATTTATTTTAAATATTATTTAATAAATTTAGATTCATCAAATGCTATTAAGTAAATCTCAATAAATTTTGAGAAATTATTCGTCAATTTTAGATGATGTTAACATGATATATATATATATATATATATATATATATATATATA